TGACTATTTCTGTTTATGTCGTAAGGAAGAATCAGGCAAAATGATAGCATGTGAAAGCATACAATGTAACATTGGATCGTAGCATTATCAGTGTCTTAACATTCCACACCCTTTCGAACTAACAGATGATGAATCATGGTTTTTTCCTCATAGTGGAAGAAAAACTCACGCTCAATATAATCATATATTGAACTTAAAAAAGCATTTAATAACAACAATGTTTCACAAGAATTTTAAAAAAATTTGTTAATGCCCCACAACTTATTAATATTTGCATGCTCGTTATCTCACTTACGTTTCAGCAACTTCACAGAAGTAGGACCTTGTAAAATTTTATATTTTTTTGTATTCATTCAATTACTCATTCCACATGAATCTGTAACGTTAACAATTGCTTTGAAAACTACTTTTTGTGATAATTGTGGTATATCCCTTGTGAAAGCAGGTATTTCTAACGTTGCACCACAAAAAGCAATGTCTTCGCCTATTTTAAAGCCTCTTTCAGCAAATAATGTCTCCAGGTTCAACGTGTTGAAGAAAGCCACCCCTTTGTGTGATGACCTTATTAGATAATTCCCTCTAGCATTTAAGATACTGTCTATCTGGAAATTTTTAATGGGATTTTAATTCAACTGCATTAGAATTAAGCAAAACATTAGATTACCCATTTAATTACATGCCACATTCAACAATACTAAATTAGTAAAAATAAAATCACAGCACAATTTTAAAACTCATAGTTGTACGATACTAATTTCCTGATCTACAGTACTTCCACATGGTATAATAGAAATTAATAACTTTTGTGCCTTTGTAATTAAAGTATGTCAGACTCTTTGCTCTAAGGTAAGTGTTTATTTCAAAACAGTCAATAATTGCAATGCATTGATGATAGAGATGTTTGAAAGCTGTTGGCAAATTTTCCTTTTTTATTTTGGATGACTGTTTAATTAGGAAACGCAAACGAAAGTATGCCACTACCAGCCACTTCTGAACGATTCTACCTGCTGTAGTGGTAAAACAAAATGAAAGTGTAAAGGAGTCCAAGATGAAGCTGTACCAAAAACAAAAGAAATTCATCTTTTAGTTAAAGTAAAAATGATGGATCCCCATGTGGAGCAAGAAAGTGATACAATTACAGAGACTTTCCATGTTTGGAAAGTGGTAAAGAACTTGGTGTTCTCATCATCTTCAGAAATGAAGTCCATATTCATAGTTTTGCCATGCAACTTCATCTTCAAAACCTCATTTTAATGCAAAAATTTAATCTAGACTAGTTCCATATGATTCAGTCTGTTGCTCCAAGTGCACTACGGAACGACCAGTATCACGCATTTTCCATCAATTCCTCATCTGGTTTACCAGAGGTACTAGTGTCTCCATTGTAGCAAGTTCCTTTACAGATAAAGACCTAAGTCTTTCATAGTTTCTATTTTGTTCACAGCTGTTGCAAAGTCGTCATCAATTCTTTCAATATTATGCATTAGTGCCCCTCTTTTTTTACCTTCTATTACATTTTCTTTTAAAATTTTCTCCTGTTCTTCCTCTTGATAAATCCATTGAGCAATCACTTCTTGAACGTGCTTACAAAATTCTATGGTCTCTTTTTCTTTCTTTCCCTTCTCTTCTCATTACCTTTGGACATTTCTTCTTTCTCTAATCTCTTTTTATATCCTTCCAGAGACTTGCCTCTTTCAAATAATAGCTGCTTGGAAACTGCAAAATTAGGCTGATCTACATGTACCTGTGTTACTTAAATGGCTGTATTGCTACGTCAAATTATCCAGTTCACACTGCCTTGATCTTTCGCAGGCACTTTTTGATATATCTGGCAACTTTGATAAGTCATAGTCTCAGTGAGTAGACATGTCATTATGGTTTTCCTGTTGTAATAACATTGCCAATGAAGCAAGGTGAATTACTTCACCTCATACATGATATGAAATGGTCATCACATATTTCTGCAATGAGATGTTGGTTGCCACAAGTCTTTTGCAACTGTAGCCTCCCACCTGCTACATCTTTCCATGTTCATTAATAGAAACTTGGTACAACCAATGGCACAACAATTACTCACCATTCCTCTTCCAGTACTCCGCAACGAGCTTGGCTCTGAGCTCTCAACCAGTAGTTTACACTCAAAGATTTAGATATGACTACTGCAGTACATTGCGGTGCTTTCCCACCAGTAGGCATCGGAAATTAAGTAACGGTAGACAAGTTTATTTATTATTCATGAGAAAATAAGCTTCCACCCAAGCATGAGGAAAGTCTATAATTTGGTAATGTGCAAGGTGTTGGCAGTCGCTTTTCATTACTAGGACGTAAGAAAGTTTTAGGGCATATTATGAATTAAATTTAATTAACCATTAATATGTTATTTAACTAGTGGCTAAATAAATTTATATGGACTATCTTCTCGTGGCTTTGTGGTTACTTGTAATAACAGTGGGGGTGGCGACAGCAATTAATTAAAATGGAGAAGTGGTACTGTTACAGCCCTTTACACTATACTTTGATCATAGTAGATGATTCCTTGGACACAGGTGGGAAGCAGGCCGGCCGGCCACTCCCAAAAACCCCACCTATTATTTATTTTTTAGGTAATTTTCAAAAACAATGTTGTCCAGTGAGCTATCTTGCACGAAAGCATATTCAAATATACGTTGGAAGACAGTGTGGCTGAGAATTGGAGAAAAATGTATCTTAGATCAATTGCCAATCAACTGCATTGGATATTGGCACTGTTTCAAGAACTATGAAACAGTTTGAATTAAGTGGAGATGTGACAAAGGTTTTTTAATCAGAAAGTAGGCCTTATTTGAGGACTCTTAATTGCTCTCGTGAATTCTTCATACTTCATTTTATTGCAGAGTAACTAAGCCTATATCTTAAAGGAGCACGTACACGAAAGTGCATGCATGCTATGGCTTCATGTGCGCAAGAATACAGACCAATAAAGGGTGGGGTATTGCGAGCCATGTGATACAATGGATTCTGGATCTTCAATTGTAAGTGTCTCCACAGTGACTCGTTTTCATACACATACTGAAGGATTTCTGGCATTATGATGCTCAGCACCAAGCCTGAAGTCCAGCAATATTTCTTCGTAGATGAACTTTGACAGTCGCCATTTTGTAAATCTCACGTGAGCTAAAACACTACGTCGTCTTGATTATTTGGTCTAAAAATCAAGATGACGCGCTTCCGTGTCTGTGCTCCTTTAATGAATTGTCACATTACTAAAAGAGTGGCTGGATTGCAAGTATCAACAGTAACCGTATGTCGCCTCTTGAGACGATATGCGTACACAAAAAAGACTATTAAATAAGTATGTAGCCAAAGATCAAGAGCTCAAAGAGCAGCCTTTAATACAAATATGTTGCTGTATGGAAGTTGCAAAATGGTGTTGTTGGATGAAACAGGCAGTGCAGGCATTTGTTGAGAAAAATGGATATGCACTGAAAGAAGAGAGGGCAGTGAAACATACAAATATGTCTAGAGGGAAGACATTTAATGTCATATTAGTTATTTGAGTTGAATGGGCACTGACTTCATTTCTAACTGAAGGTACCGTTACAGCCATTACATTTTTAGACTTCATTTGTGACGTTCTTTTATCAATGCTGCATATATTTGGTGGTAGTGTAACTCATTCAATGATAATAATGGACAATCTATTAGTTCATTGTGAAACTACAGTTACATTATTAAATGAATCAGGCACTGTAGTACAATACCTCCCAACATACAGTCCTGACCTAAGTCTATTTAAAGAAGAATTTAGTTACAATGAATGCTATTTAAAATTGCATGAGGACATATTGGAAGCCACTGATGACCCAATAACAATAATAAAGGCAGCTATAGCAAGCATTACTAAAGTAATGTGCAGACAATGGATTACCCACTCTGGATATGATGTATAGGTTTTGTTTCACATGATTACTGTCAATTTCAAATGATCAAAACATTATAAACAATGACTAAACTGATAATCAAATTTATTAATAATTTATTGTAATCATACAATGCAATCTTAATCATTTAACAATTTTGACAATAATAACATTCTTTATTAATGAACATGAACTTTTATTAATCATAACAGTGACATAGTATAGTCAAAATCAAACATACTACAGTTGCTGAATATCAGACAGTATTTTCTTTTGCAGGTCATGATACTGCTCTTGAGTGAAACATGTTTCATCAGAAGACTATGCCACTTTTCAAGTTAATCCGTACATGAAGAGCGAAGCTTAATTTTATTTTTGCAAGGAGAAAATGATGAATTTGATGATACATTTTTATTACTTTTACTCTTCTTACTTGAAAAAAAGGCTTGTCAGGAGGATCATCAATAGAATTGTGTTTCTTAAGATAGATCATGTGTGCCCATGCATGCAACTGTTCAATGCTATATGTGCCAGTATGTTTCTCAGACAAGCAATCTCATTAACTTCACTCCTTGTCTGTAACAAAAGGTCACTCTTAGATTGCACAGATGAAACCTTATTATTACTGCATCTGCTACAGTGATGCTTAGCTGGTGGTTCTTCTGATTGTTTTACAACTTCCTTTTCACTTAGCAAATACCATAACATAATTTTTTTCCTTTTTTTGCTTTCCCAGTACATATTCTTTAGGTCTTCACATGCCTTTAGCAACATTCCCACATTGAATGTATCTCAATTGATATGAGACAATATCTGAACTAGGACATTTCTCCTGAATGGTTTCTTTCAATTTGCTGACCTGATGAAACTGATGTTTAACATTTTAAAAGTTATGAACAGTATAGCAGTGGCGGATCCAGAAATGGAGAAGGGGGGTTCAAATGGCGCGCAAAGCACAAATTTTTTGGCGAAACCTTTTTGCATGGCCATATGACGTGTTTTTCACGTATATGCCTATATTACACGTGCGGGCGGCAATTATTATTATTACACTATTATTATTATGTAATAATGACATGAGCATAATTGCTAATAATTGGTTTAATCATCTCTCAACATGAAGGACAAGGCCATTCTCCTGGAATGTAACTTCGTAAAGTCCTCTACAAGTTGTTTCAGCTTCATTGGAGTCGTTAAATTGTTACAGCAATCACGATTGACCTTCACAATGGCAAGACTACTGAGCTTAGTGTCAGACATGGTGGAGCGACAAGCAGTTTTCAAAAGATTAAGCTGGCTGAAACTTCTCTCACTTTCACAGGATGTTATAGGGAGAGCTAAAGCTATCCTAAGAAGAGTATGTAGATTTGAAAACTGGAAAGAGCTACATGATTTAAGAGCATCTACATATTTATTGGGTGGGTCTTCTCCACTGTGTTTCCATTTGGCTCTCCATGTGTTGAATTCTGTCTCAATCATGACAGGGTGAGGTAGATGTGCTTCATAAAACTGAACAGTATGAATGAGATCATTTGGAAGATTCTCTTCATCAACAGATTTTATGCAATCACTTGGTAATAGCTTCATAATACCCAGAACAGTCTTGCTAGATTTTCAACAAATCTGCTTTCCAACTCTGAAACAATATGCGACAGAAACTCATCATATAGTGTGATTCTATAGAAGTCCTCCGGAGATGAACAAGGAGGATTATTACGATGTATTTGTCTTCCAGTGACTTGTGGTTTAGTAAGCTGATATCCTTCTCTGTGAAGTGTCACTCCCATTTTAGTAGCAGAAGCAAATATCTTCTTAAACTCTAATCCTCACTGTTGGCGTAGTGACTTAAAAGTAGAGACAACAGAGGTGATAGCATTGTATGCATAGATGACATCTATTGCCTGCATCTGGAGTTTTTCTGTCAAATCTTTAAGAAGAGTCATGACTTGAAGAATATGAAATGAAACTAAGAAAGAAGGTGACTGAAGCTGGAAAAGGAATCCATTTGCTCTGGTAACTGTCTCCCCATCCCAGCCCCAATCAGTTCCTAGGTCAGTGTGTAGCCTGGGGTGAGCCATGGCATCAAGTGATGAATGTATAGCTTCATGAAGAAGCTCCATGAATATTGTGTAGGACTCTATACGCTCCACCCAACGTGTTATGCAAGAATCTATCAGCTTATTAGCTCTAGACTCTGAACTACTCTTCACCTCAACAGCTTTATCCAGTAGCCTCTGCCTCTTTGCCGAATAGCTAAAGAATCTGGCAATTTCTCCAATGCATGATTCAGCACTTTTAAAAGCTAAGATGGAGCAAGATGATACTAACGCTAAGTTCAATCGATGAGCAGCACAATGAAAATACATAGCCAATGGGGCTTCCTTCTGAATGATGGTTTTGCACCCAGACTTGGCTCCAGACATGTTAGATGCTCCATCATAGCACTGACCACATATGTTGGCTACTGGTAAATCATGTGAGTGAAGCCATTGGAGAATAGCCTGTGATTCTTTCAACCCCTATAAAATCAACAAAGACCTCTTAATACCATCTTCAGTGAAGTATCTCAGAACAATGGACAGTTCTTCTTTGTTGGCAGCATCAGTGACTTCATCTGCAATGACTGAGTAAAAATGAGCCCTTTTCACCTCATCTAGGATCTCCTTTTGAATCTTCTGGCCAACAGCACTGATTAGCTCATTTTGAATGGTTTTCGAGGTGTATTTTGCATATTTAGGAGCACTGACCAAGTGATTTGCTAAAATGGGATCTGTTTCAGCTCTAAATCTAATAATCTCAACAAAGATACCATCATTGCCACAATCTTTATCTAATACCCAATTAACATTATCATTTCGGTGCCCTCGAAAAGGTAAGCCCTGCTTTCCACATAATATCACTATTTTCAACAGTGACTCTATGACTTTTCTGTTTCTTTCTATGATACGGTGGGCTTCACAGTCTAAAGGAGTGTTGACTCCCTCTGATGGATTATTATACAATCGTAAGAACTCATTCATTTTAGCCATGGAAGACTGATGGTAGTCATTCCTAGCATGAGCATTAGCCTTGTTAGACTTAGTAATCTATGCTTTGAATGGTGCAGTAACAAATTGGTGATGAGACTGACGACAGACTTCATCTGGAGCAAAGAAAACACAGGCACGACAGAACACTCCATCAACATGGTGACTGTAATCAAGCTATGGAAACTTCTTCATCCATGTTGGTTGAAAGTGGCGATTGCAACCAGTAGACTGTCGTGTACGTGGATAGGGTAATGGATTGAAATCAGGCTCTCTCTTCAGTATGCAAAAAATATAGTCTCTGGAAATATTGCTAGTACGAATATTTCTATGAGTTTCAAGGAGTTAACCTATGTCACGCATTAACACCCTATCATCAGGTAAACCTAGATAATTAAATCTAATTGAATTCAAGGAATACTATTCTCTTGCATTCATCTGTAGGATCAAAATTTGTGTCTTTGATCAATGCATCACTAGTGCTAGTATTATAAGAGACTATAGCAGAGCTAGCATCAGTGCATGGTCCTGATGCAGTGGCCTCTTCACTATAATCAATTTGTTCTGACTGAGAGATTGACTGAGTCTGCATTTCAGTTTCAGACTGTATGCATACATAATTATTACATTCATTTATCATTTTTATTGCACCTAGTCTATTTCTTTTAGAAAAGAAGCTTGTAGTTGAAGTAGTTGACTTCCTCTTAGACATGATAAAGCTGGCTTGTTATCAGGTGTAGACCATGAACCACAGACATGTGTAACCACAAACATGTGTGCTATAATAGCTAGGCGGTGCATGCAGCTATGCATATGATAAAAGCAAGTTCCAACCCACAAGTTTGAGTTTTAACCAGTAAGCAACTGAGGTAAGGAAAGTACTGGCCGGAATGGCTGCTTGCTTGACTCAACCTGAGAAGATCATAGACCCACTTGCTAGCTAAGTTATTTCAACACAATCAGATGTCTCTCTTCAAAGATTAGAGGTGATAACTGTGCATATTTTTACATAAAAATCATTTAAAAGCATTAAAAATTTTTCATTTCCCAAGGGGGGAACCCATGGAACCCCCCTAGATCCACCACTGTATAATTGCTTTTCTTCTTTGCATTCATGACTTTTACAGTATAATAAAAGGAGCTGAAGCTGTTTATGATTTCTGAAACTAGCATAGCATATTTTACTACCATTATACTAAAAGTATGAACAAAGTAGTAATTAGACTGTATATACTGTGTATACCAACCTGAACTAAAGGTGTCTGTCCTAAAATGTTATCAATGATAAGAGTTGCTCTAGGCGTAGTTGTTTGGGAAGTAGCAGTTGATGTGGTCATACTAGCAGCAACTAAAAGCGTGAGGGAGGAGATAGCAGTTCTTTAAAACTGACACCACAGCCAAAATTGCTTGCCATGTTTTCAATTCATCTTAGATTGTGAGGGTGTGGCTTAATTTGATTGCATGGCTACAGAACAGATTTACATGTTATGATTGCTTCCAAATCTTGTACAAAGGGCTGACTTCTTGACTATAGTAACTTTTTGCAGGAGCCCATAAAGTGCAATACTCCCACGCAATTAATTAAAATTGCTTATGCCTCTTATCATAATGTTGTTACTATTTTCAGTGAAACAAAAGTTGTGTAGTAAAATGGTTACCAGTGTGAAGATTAGAAAATGTTAGTGTTTACCACTGGAAATGCTATGCCAGGAGCAGAATGCTTGAAAGAACTTGAAAGCATAAGTATGTTACCATGAAATCATAGCTACTTTAAAGTAGAACCATCTCTCCATCAATTACAGCAAGTCTTGGTAGTATACAGGAGATCTCCAGCAGAATTAGAGCTACAG